AGAAATCAATACTCTAATAAAATAATATTATTAATATATTAAATATTATATATTAAAAATAATATTTATTAATATCTGATAATCCAATAAAAAGAATTAATCCAATAAAAAGAAATTAAAAAAATTTATTAAAAAAACTAATATATAATACTTCAATAAAGTTAAAAAGAAGATATGCAGAAATGGTCCCTATGGTTTGGTAGAAAGACTTAATTACAGAAATTATCCCTGAGGGTACAATAGTAATCTTAAAAAAGTAAACAGTCAACCTATTAAAGTTAACGACATATGGACAAAATCCGCACAAGGTATCCAAAATTGGACCACTGGTGCACCACCAAACCTTTTTGGACCAAAACCGCATAATTTTGACAACCATATGGACCATTTTTGCAATTTTTTCTATTTTTTCTGAGTTTTGGTCTAAACTCTATTTTTTGGATTGGTGGTCATTTTGACCGTGTTTGTATGTGGTTTTGCACCCTCCCAAAACTAAAATGACTAACTTTCCCTTATACAATTCCATTTTTCATTTTCTTTTTATTATGCAATTAAAAAGAAAAGCTAAAATAAAATACACCCTAACCCCTACTCTTCCTCATACCTAGTTACCCACCCACACCCTCTCTCTCTAACTCCCTTCACTATTGTCGGTAAACAAGAAACAACCACTGTTGCTGCCGTGTGTCGCCTCGCCGAAGTTCATTTACGACAATCTTTGCAAATGAGATATATCCACACCAGTTGACTCTCCTCATTCTCGACATAAAACCCCCAAAGAGAATCACCCAAATACCTCGTCGGAAAACAAGTCTAACAGTAACCTCTAGCCACCCACCACTGTGTTTATCACACTACTTTTTTCCGACGAACAACACCACCCTCATCGAATTTAGAAACCTTGGCTCTCATCTTCGGTAAACAAAAAGCAGAGGAGAATATCAGGAATGTCTCACCAGATCGACCACCACCAAAGAATAGAGTAGAAGGGAAAGAACCACCCACCGTCAGCCACCAATATCCACCATCTCCGTCGCCTTATCTTAACTTCGACAAACTCATCTTTCAACCCTAAATCCCAGATGACAGAATTATCTTTTTGACGTGAATCTGGCCACCGCCCCTAAATCGTTAATCCCATCTATCATGAGCACAACCACCTCCAATGTCTTTACCAGAATCGAAGCCATCACAATCATCACCTATACTGAAATTACAGTTGTCACCACCACCATCGAATTTACCTCTACACTCTATCCATATCTGAAACGTGAATCAAAGAAAAAAAGGAGGGATTGATTTCACGCATGTACAATGTCTCTCTCTAAAACTGAAATCAAAGCCATCATCCACTTCACATCCCTCGATTTGCAGATTTTAGTAGAATAGTGAGAAGGGGATCAATTTTTTCTCTAGCAATGATGGTGGTGGTGGATGCTTTTGATGCCACATATAAGGGGATGGAGATCGTAAATGGGTAAACTCGCCCTTTGATTCACAATGATGGGTAAATGATGATAATGATTAAATGATGAATATGGTAGATAGAGATGTTTAAGTTTGTGTGTATGTGTTTTTGAGTTTCAACATAGAGAGAGAGAGGTGGGGCTATATTGTTTTTAATTATTAAAATAGATAAATGACTATTTAATTTAAAAAATGAAAGAAAAATCGAAACTAATATACAAAGGTATTATAGTAATTTCAATTTTTTGGAGGAACCAAAACCACGTACAAACATGGTCAAAAGGACCACCAATCCAAAAAAGTTAGGGTTTGGAGTAAAATTAGGAAAAAATACATACCACATGTTAGGGGTCAAGATCCTTAAACCTATCTAAGATCCCAGATCTTAAAGGAGTCTCAGGATCCCAAAACATACATCACGATCCTGACCATCACCATATTATTTCTTAACGAAATTAACGGATATATTTCTTGTTTATTCTTCACGTGTGCAGAATTAGTCAATAAAAGACTCATCAACCCTAAAGAATCGTTTCAACCAAGCTTAAGACCCGTAAATACCAATTCAAGGCAACATGCAAATACTTGTTCAATAAGATCCCGAGAATATCGAACTTCTAGTTATTCGACCTAGGCTATAAATACACATGTATAAATCACACTACAACACGATCTAGAGCTACTGAAACACTTGTACTTGTACTTTCAATCATATTTCTATAACTTGCTTTTCCATTAATAAAATTAAACAAGACAGATGATCATTATAATTTACCAAGGTTTTATGCCGGAGATCCTAGCAAGGATCAAGGGCTTTCCTTGTAAATCACTTGTGTCGTTCTAAATCTTGATTCTATATCCTCATTAGTCACAACACCACAACCTCTCATACAATTTGGTTGATGTCTTTTTGATCCATTTTTGACCAAAAAAATTTGGTGCCCACTGTGGGGTCGTGGTGTTCATAATTATCGAAAATCATGTCTACGCAATCAACCTTATCTTCTTCTTCTATTCCTCCCATTTCTTCAAAGAATCTACCACAACCTCCAAAAGGACCTATTGTTCAGAAGAAAAACGTCTGATGCTTCTAAAAGGAACACCTATCCGATCACTATCTATGGGAATCCAGGATCACTAAGGTCTCAAGATCCTCCCGTTTAGATCTGCAACAATAAACTATTCACCATGATGAAGATGCCAATGCAACAAGTGACTCAACAATAGAAGGTCAATAAAACATTCCTCAAGAAGGTGGAAAGAATGAGAGCATAAATCCATAAACCCCATGAAGCGACACCCTCGATCTTTGAACCCAAGATCTTGAATTTCGATAGCACAGGATCCTTAGGGATACGTCTGGAGTCTACAACCCCAACATTCGTCACTATTCCGACTGGGGGTGTAATCGCAAACAACTGAACTCATGTGATCCAGGATCTTGACGAAACTTTCATTACTCCTAAGAACAAAGATGCTGGTAACTTCTTCAAAAGTAATACATTATATATGAACTATGTGGATCTTGATGCATGGATAAGTCCAGTCATGGCTAGGGAACTTTAGCGACTAAGGCAGATAATCTAGAGCATACTAGGAGTAGTTCAACCTATACCTAAAGTATCCCCCACTAACGACAATATCTCGAGATTTGCTCCTTCAATAGCTGACACTAAAGTTCCAAAACGCTTCCAAACTCCCAGCATGAAGCCCTACGATGGAACCACAGATCCTGAGGAGCACATAGCACAATATAGAGAAAGATTGGAAATCATTCCCATTCCACCACACTTAAAAGAGGCTTGATTATGCAGGGTTTTGGTTCAAATCTTACAGGATCGGCCTTTAAATGGCTTCTCAATGTTCCTCCTTACTCAATTACTTCTTCTGCTCACTTAGTTAACCTTTCCAATACTCAGTTCTCTTGTAGCAGGATATTTGAAAGGATCACTAGTGATCTTTATCGAGTAGTATGGGATCCTAAGGAATCCCTTAATGACTTTGTAAGCAGGTTTGGCAGGGAAGCATTGAACATTCCCAACATTGACATGGCCACTGCAGTATAAGCTTTTAAATGGGCATGAAGAAGGATTCTCCATTCTACGAAGATCTTGTGATAACCCTATGCAGGAAAATGGATGAAGTCAGAAGTAGAGCACTGAGATTCATCAAACTATAGGAAAACAAAGAAATTCAAAAGAGGATCAACACCCCAAATTCATATGACAATCCCAACAAGAAGGCCGAATTCTCGACCCAAAGATCCTATAAACCAAAACCATAATCCAAACCTGACCATCACAGGGTTAATGCCTTTGATAATGAGGGGGATGAAGATGAATTCCCCAGGATCTTTGACTATTGTTTCTCTATGGATGTTCAAGTTTAATTTTTGCCATGCAGGATCTTGGTGAGAAAGCAAGGTGGCCGAGGAAAGGAGAAAAATCAAGTGGCTGGAAGGACAAGTCCAAATGGTGCACGTACCACAAAGATTTTGGCCACATCACTGAAGACTATATATCCCTCAAGAAGGAGATTAGCTATCTCCCGAGTCAAGAATATCTTAAATTGATCCTAGGAAGGAGAAAATAAAGATCTATAGAAAATGAGCATGATCCTGCGAAGATCCGGGAAAAACCAGCACTGTGGTATGCATTTTTTTGGGGTTTCGGTCCAAACCTGGACTTTTTTGTATCATGGTCCTTTTGGCCTAGTTTGTACGTAGAATTGGTCCCCCGACTTAACTTCCGTTAAGTTGTTGCTGTTAACCCTTCATGTGTGAGGGTATGTTTGTCTTTTCACTTATAAAGGACCATTTTTGCACCTAAAAACATATATCCCCATTTTTTTTAAAAAAATTTAATACCTATTTATTTATTTTAATAATTAAAAAATAAAAAAGCTCTCTCTCTCTCTCTCTCTCTCTCTCTCCCTCTCTCTCAACCCAAAACACAGTCAAGAACATATACATACATACTCCCTTTTTTTCTTGTTGAGGTGAGATATGATTCCATAACAGCAGGAAGAGTGGTGAGCTCTTATGGAATCGTTCCAGTGAGATTGTTGTTAACAAGAACGAGTATTTGAAGCAATTTCAAAGTAGAAAACTCAGGGGAAATTGAACCAGTGAGCTCTATCTTTGAAAGTTAACAATGGTGATGTTGCGATTGTTGCACCTAATCCCAAACATGAGCCTCCAACCGACAATTCACCATTGTTATTCCTTGTATCAGATGTTATGAACACACACACACACACACACTTATTTCGACTATGTACCCTAACTGTGTGCGATTTCTGGTACACAAGAACATAAATGACAATCTTATGTTCGCTAAATTCAAGAAACAGTAAAACAAAAATAACATAATCTTACAAGACCTGTTGTTGTGAATAGATGGTAGAAGGTGAAATCAAACAGGGAGATGATCCTGAAACTTCGGTTACATAATGGTGATGATGGGTTGAATTGATTCCAGATGCATAAAACATGATTTAAGAATAAATTATACTAATCTACAACAACGACGATTTCATATACACAATGGAGATGATGTTCCTGGCGGCGAAGATTTAAGAAGCAAGGTGGAGACGTGAATCCATCTTCTCCGACGGCCTTTTGGCTGTTCTTTTCTGGTCCGATCAGCTGAAAACACGAAAGGTGAAGAGGCAAGGCAGATCGACGACTTCAGGGGGTGTTTTGTTGTGGTGTCGACAGGCAAAGGTGGAGGGGACAACCGATCTTTGGAGAACCCTTTTGTGGTTCTACTCCTCATCGCCAGCAGTAGCAAACCGGAAGGACCAAGGTGCAACATCAGTCGACCGTCAAGCAGATCTATAGCCTCTGATGAACGATCATGGTGGTGATGTGGCTCTCTGGCTCTGAAAAGAAATAATGGATTTCATCTCTGCCACCGGCTTCAACGAAGCTGATATCTGGATGTTTTCTAATGCATTGGTGGAGAAGGAGTGTGGTAGGTTGCTCCAGAAATGAAAGTAAGTGTTTGTTCTTGAGTTCTTGAAAACCCAGAAATCTTAGGTCAATGGTGTGGAGAGAGAGAGAGAGAGAGAGAGCTTTTTTTATTTTTTAATTATTAAAATAAATAAATAGGTATTAATTTTTTTTTAAAAATGAGGATATATTTTTTTAGGTGCAAAAATGGTCCTTTATAAGTGAAAAGACAAATATACCCTCGCACATGAGGGGTTAACGACAACAACTTAACCGAAGTTAAGTCGGGGGACCAATTCTACGTACAAACTAGGCCAAAAGGACCATGAATCCAAAAAAGTCCAGGTTTGGACTGAAACCCCAAAAAAATGCATACCACAGGGACCATTTTTGCAATTTTGTCTTAGCATTATTTATGGAGGTTCTGACATTTTTGGAACTTCTTATTCTGCAGCAAAAAGACATGATAAGGTATCCAAGGCAGAGAAAGAAGAAAGACCCCGTAAGAACACATCAATTACAAGCGAGAAAGAATTCATATTCGATGAACAAGAGAGAGAAAACGTCCAAGATCCTCACCTTGAAGGACTTGTGATAACTTGCTATATTGCCAATCACTTTGTTAAAAGGATCCTGCTAGATGGAGGATCCTCGGTGAACATCATACTCTTAGACACTTTAACCCGGATGAACATCCTAGAATATGAGATCATAAAAAGATCCTCAGTGTTGATAGGATTCAACGGAAAGACAAAGCACATAGTTGGAGAAATCAAACTAACTATCTACATCGAAGGGGTAAATTATATGCAACTTTTATGTTATTGATGCTCTGTCTTCCTACAATGTGATATTAGGCAGGCCCTGTATCCATGACATAAAAGCAGTACCCTCGACATACCACCAATGTGTCAAGATGACTACCCCTTGGGGGACAGTGAAGATCATCAGTGATCAACAAGAGTCCAGAGAATGTTATAAAACTTTGATGAAGCCCTCCACAATACCAAGAAAAGCATAACAATTAAAGAAAAGGGCACGAGATGTATTATAAACAAAAGAACAAGATGTAAAAGAAGTGCCCCTAAATATTGAGGATCCTGGCTTTAAAGTACTTATAGGATCCTCAATATCTGAAGAAATTGAGCAAGACCTGATGAAGTTGTTAAACAACAGAAGAAAGACATTCGCATGGAAACACGAAGATATGACAGGTATAAGCAAATAAATTATAACTTATAAACTTAATATAAATCCTTCTTTCATACCTATACAACAAAAAGAAGGAATTTTTCACCCGAAAGGAACCAAATCATCCAAGAGGAAATCAAAAATCTTCTTAAGACAATAATGATTAAAGAAGTCAAATTCCCAAGGTGGTTGGCCAACGTGGTGGTAGTACAAAAGAAGAATGGTAAATGGCGAGTATGTGTGTACTATATGGATCTTAACAAGGCTTGCCCTAAGGATTCTTTCCCTTTACCACACATCGACACTATGATAGATGCCACGACATGACACGAATTACAAACATTCATGGACGCCTCAGCTGGGTTCCAACAAATACAAATGAACCATCTGATCAAGAGGATACTGCCTTCATAATACCTACATGTATATATTGTTATATTGTTAAGCTCTTTGTTCTAAAAAATGCAGGGTAATGTACCAAAGATTGGTTAATAGGATGTTCAAAGATAAACTGGGGGATACCATGGAAGTATACATTGATGACATGGTAGTTAAATCAAAAAGAGATGAAGACCACCTTATGGATCTTGAAGAAGGCTTCGACATATTAGAAGAATACAACATGAAGCTGAATCCATCCATATGCTACTTTGGAGTGAAGGCAGGCAAGTTCCTCGACTATATGGTCACTAAGAGAGGAATAGAAGCAAGCCCGGAGCAGATCAAAGCCATTATCAATCTAAAATTCCCAACTTCAACCAAGGATATCTAAAGGTTGACAGGAAAAGAGGCAGCTCTAAATAGGTACATCTCGAGATCGTCAGAGAGGTGCAAACCTTTCTATGACATCTTGAAGAAGAACAAGAGATTGGAGTGGTCCAAAGAAGATGAAGATGCCTTCCAAGAACATAATAGATATTTAAGTTCAACACCCTTTTTGGTGAAACCATTAGATGGGGAACCACTCATTCTCTATCTTTCAATATCATCAATTACTGTTAGTGTAGTCCTAGCCAAGGATCGTGACGGAGATCAACACCCAATTTACTATGTAAGTAAAAGACTCTTGGAACCTGAAACCAGGCACTCTCAACTTAAAAAATTAATACTTGCACTACTCACAACTTCCACCATACTAAGAAATTATTTTTAAATCCTTAATATACACGTCAAAACTAACTATCCTATTAAGCATGTTATGAGAAAACCAGAAATGTCAGGTAGAATGGCTAAATGGCCAGTGAAGCTAAGCATGTATGACATCAAATATGAGTCGAGATCAACAATAAAGTCACAAGCACTAGCATATTTTGTGGCTGATTTTAGTGATGATATACAACCCGAGGTAAAATTAAAAACCTAACAACTTCAAAAAGAAGCAAGCATGGGGAAATGGAGACTCTTTACAGATGGAACATCCAACTTCAGTGGAACAGGCCTTGGGATCATACTAAAATCGCCACAGGGGGACATCCTACCCCAAGCAGTTAGTTGTGAATCTGATGCAACTAACTATGAAGCAAAATATGAAGCACTAATCATGGGGTTACAACTAGCTAGGATCTTCGAATTGAGGATCTCCAGGTATATGTCGATTCACTATTAATAACTAACCATTTCAATGAATCCTATGTAGTTAAAGGCAAAAGATTAGCATTATACCTCCAAATACTTAGAACGTTAGCCTCAGAATTTAAAAATTTAGCTTAAACCAAGTTCCTAGAGAAGATAATACTGAAGTAGACACACTAGCCAATCTAGGATCTTCTCTCAGGATCCCACCAAAGACCAAGATCCCGATAGTTCACATAATGATCCCGGAAATAGATGATCCAACCAAGATACTAGAGGATCTCACCACCCATAGCATCACAAAAATCAAAGATACTGATTTCCACCCCCTCACCATGATCCTAATTCTCGGGATCCTGGATCGAACGTTCATAATCACCAATCTTGGATCCAACCCATTATAGAATACCTCTAAAATGGCATGATTCCAAAAGAAGAAAAAACTGATAGAGCAGTCAGAATGAGGTTCTCACGCTTTCTGATGTTTCAAGGAGTACTATACAAAAAGTCAATGGCAGAACCATATCTATGATGTTTAAAAGGTCATGAAGCTATAGAAGTTTTGAAAGATATGCGTAAAGGACCCCATCATTTCTCCTTAGCCATTCATGTAACATCGTGATTTTTCACCCAAAATTTTTTCTTTTATTTTTACCATTTATTATTAGAAGAACATTAGCATAAGTCTTATAAAAACATTGTCAATAGTTTATTTGAAAACCATTCAAAAACAACCCATCAAAATTCATAGTTGTAAAATCCAACCAAAACAAACACCAAAAACCAAATGTAAATGAAACATCACAAGAAGTCTCAAAATGGTGTCCTCACTATTATTCAAAGGTCTATAACTACCCATAAGAACCTAAAATCACTAGGCCATCACTAATCAAGCTACTTGTACCAATGCAATGCCACAAAAACAGGCAAGAAACAAGTGTCAACATCAGCATAGTGAGTCAATCTAAAGCACATAAGCATGTAAATAAACCATACACATAAATCATGTTAAGTCATGTAAACACATCAATCCATGCATTGTTCATCGATAAGTATTAACACACACACACACACACACACACACATATATATATATATATATATATATATATATATATATATATATATATATATATATATATATATATATTAATATGGACATTCTTTCATCGCTGTAATTATATATTTATTTGCTTTTATATAATTACTATTAATGCCCCTCACTAACTAGGGTCTATTCGATCGCTAACACTCCCGAAACAAGGGCACCATTCGCTACAAACGTGACCTGGCGACCCAGTGCACCAAATGGGGCGCGACTCCCACCGGTAACACTGTCCCTGGTTCGATGTCTTACTACTCCGACCTTGCACATACAAGACAATACGTTATCATTCGAGGGTGTTTTTGTAGAACATCGATTGCATGACTAAACCCAAACGTGATGCTTGATCCAACCTCATCAATGCCAACATCACTCTAGTACCAGTATACGATTGTACAAGTACCATGTCTTGATATGGTCATGTAGAAAACCATTTGTGTAACATCCTGTTTTTGTAGGATGATGGTTGTCTTTGTGACACTTGCTGATATGCCTTTATGTTCTTGTTGTCTTTGTGACTCATGCTTATATCTTTGTATGCTTATGCATGTAGGGTGAAACGGACCCGGGGGCTGATACGGACCCGACATAGCTACAAGTTGTTACATGGAGTCATTATGGACTCGGGGTTGATACGGACTTGACAGAGCCACGTGTTGTTATATTTGTATACATGTTGTATGTCATATATTGGGGAACTCACTGAGCTTTATGCTTATGGTTTACGTTTGAAATGTTTTCAGGTACTTCTAGTTTCAAAAGGAAGGGTCCGACTTGATCGCACTGCATCCCCTGGAGATCTATTCCGCTCTGAATGTTTATGAACTACTCTGATGTTTGGAGAATACATTTATTATGATTGTCTTTGAGTTAATAAATGAATGGTTTGAATTATTTAAAAATGGAAATTTTACTCAGTATTTTTGGGACATTTCAAGTTGGTATAAGAGCCTTGGTTTAAGGGATTTAGGCACACTCTCGAGTGTGGTTAAAAT